TCCTCCCGGAGAAGGGCGGCATACAAATAATAAAATTCTATTCTATTCTATTCTACTACAGGGAGGCAACATACCACCCTAGATTGATTATCCGGTTTACAGGGGTGTAGGACGTTTAGCCATTAACCCTTGGCCACTCCCAGCCAACCGCCATCACCGAACCACAGCTAGATTTCCTGCTTTGCTGGCTCACTGCCAGTAATTGGCCATCACCAATGCCGGGAAGGTTCCCTCTGTGGCACAAGATGGATGGATTGTGAGGGCCGTGGGACAGTGCTGCAGTGCCAATGCCATTGCATCTAGCACAAATGCCCTGGGGCTGAGCCTCGGAGGTTCCTGCTGCCAGCCCACCTCCTTCTCTTTGCCTCCCGTGCACCTGCTGCTACCAGCAGCAATGCCCTGGCCAGGTGATTCACCACCACCGCTGCTGCAGAGCTGGAGATGGGCAAACAGGGACAATCAGCTGGGAGCCATTTTTCCTTTTGGAGGTTGGGGAGGGGGCATTCCCTGCATGCACACAAACATATCCACAGAGAAACAGACAGACAGACAGACACATACCCAGAGACACAGAAACACACATAGACACAATCCCTGCAGCTTCCCCCAGGCCCTTCGCCTCCCCTCCAACCCAGATTGAGAACCTCTAAGGAAGCACAGACTGCTTGAGACCCTCTTTGAGGCAGAGGGTCTGCAGGGACCCTCTGATTGGGTATAAAGAAGCTGGTACCCCAAACACCTGCTGCACATCAGCAGCAATGCCCCAACCAGATGAGTCGCTGCTGCTGCTGCGGAGCTGCAGGTGGGTGGGCAAGGGCAGATGGGTGACCGGGCACCTCCAGGAAGGTCTGGAGCAGTCTGCACTGCCTCAGGAGTTCTCAATCGGGGTTGGAGGTGAGGCGGAGGGGCCGGGACAGACTGGGGGGGCAGCAGGGATCATGTATCTGTTTCTGTGTCTTTCTGTCTCTGTGTCAGGCCTGTAGTTATGTTCCTTTTAGGATCTTTGGCCTGCCACACTTTTTATTATTTCACAATTCTGTTTCATTAATGTAGGAATTGGGAGGGGGGAATAGAAAGGAGTAGGATTGTGGAATGTGTTGTTGTCATTCCTTTCTAGAAGCCAAGGTCATCTTTTGTCTCCGCACCTCTGCACCTGACCGGAATAAGCTGGGTGGAGATGCCAGTGTGGCCGAAGAAGATTGGACCATGTGATGAATTTATGGGTGTGGGGATAAGATCATGCACTTTCAACTGGGTGAAATCCCAAGAAGTTTTCAGAATTGGGATTTTCCACAGTTTCGTCGCCAACATGTCTGATTTATTAAATTGGAAATTTAAGGATAGCTCTGCCTTGGACTCTGATTTAATTCTGCATGATATTTGGAACACTGACATTATCACAAATCTCATTTTAAAATAAATCACCAGCACCCCGAGAGGGGGCTGGTGTGGGGGGTGCTGATTTCCCAACGCTGACCGGGTCAGAATATAATATCAGCGAACAATTATGAGAAAGCCCTTTGAGATAAGAAGCTGAGATGAGACGCTTCTCTACATCTCTCCCAAGCAGCAAAGGAATTTGTGGGAGAGGGAAATTTCAAATAAATAGCGTCTGGGAAGATGCAGCCAGAGGGGACTGGGAATTGAATTTGAATTTGAATTTATTGCATTTATATGCCGCCCTATTCCCAGAGGGACTCAGGGCGGCTAACAAATCAAGGGAGGGAATACAGAACAAGAAAAAACAACAGACAAGCGACTACAAAAAGAATTTAAAAACAATCAACAGCCACAAAGTTCGAGCGGGGATGGGAACTCGTCAACCCCAGGCCTGTNTGACTTTACAGTGGTAGAGACTAACTTGGTTCTGCACCTAATAACGGCGGCAAGACTGTTGGTGGCGCAATACTGGAAGAAGGAAGACTTGCCTATGCGCATGTCCTAGGAAGATGGCTGCCGAGCTTTTCGCTCCGGCTCGGTTTCTCCGAAAATAGCTTGGAAGGAAGGGAAATATCTGCCCAGGAGCCTGGTTCTATGCTGGCTGAGGACAAAAAACCCCCAGAACATCCGTGCCAGCAGCGTATTGGGGAGACTTGCCTCCCCGGAGCTGCTGGGCACAGAAAACGCGGACGCTGACGCTGCTGACGGGGAAGCCTCCAACCCACCGACGCTGCTGACGGGGAAGCCACCGACCCTGGCCGACGCCGGCGCTAACGCTGCTCGGAGATGCCGCAGCCAGACATTCGGGAGCTGGGGAGCTGGGGAGCTGGGGCTGCGTGGGGCTGTGTGTGTGTTTGCTGGCTGCCAGAGACTAGGAGCCGGGCGGTCTGTCCACTCACCGGGAAACGTTGGAGCCGACATCTGAGCTGCTGAGCCGCTGATCAGCTGTGGATATCGTGGCTAGCGCCCCCTGCTGCTGCTGGAAACCGCGTTGTTCGTGTGTCAGGGCTGTTTAAGACACGCTGAAAAAACTGAGCTCTGAGGACACAGAAGACGCCAGGAGCCCCCGGGAGTTGATTGTGAGAGAACATTGAAGTTCTTATTGAGCACCATTGAGTACTATTGAACACCATCCGAGTGGGTAGGCGGTGCTGAGTTTGGGGGGAAGCGCTCCCCCCCTTCTCAGGAAGAACTGAGGGGTGTCTGGGGTGTGCTTGGGGTGGCACTGCTCTTTGGAGCTGCCGCGCCCAGGGACGCTGAAGATGCCGAGGCCAACACTGCGGAGGCTAGCGTGGCTCAGCTGACCAGGAGACCTCGACGAACTTGCCATTTGCTTATGTGACTCTGAGACCAGCTGGGAGCCCCGCGGGACTGTGAACGGCGCCTGAATGAACATTGTAGCCCGGCTGCCGGGAGGGAGTCCTTCTGATTATTGCAACCGTCGAGGCCACCTGTGAACGCTGTGGCCGTCCGGGAACGCTGTAGCCTAGCCATGTGAGCTGTTGATAACTTGTGGGCCACTACCATCTCGCGAACCTTGTCGGGCCGCCTGTGGCGGGAGGCGGGCGGTGACCTCCCGACCACCGGGGCCGAAGACACCTGCTGGAGCCTGGAAGATCAGGCTGAGACCATCTGGCTGCCGTGGAAGCGGCTATCGGTGACTGTTTGGGGGGACCCGACCCCCCCAGGTTGTCTGATGCCTCCTCTGCTGTTGTGCTGTTGTAGGGTCAGGCTAGGGACAGGGTAGGGTTAGTTAGAATTTTAAGGTGGGGTTAGTGTTAAGTTATAGCTAAGTTAAGGTTAGGGTTAGGGTGAGGGTGGGGGTGGGGTTGCTAGCCTGATGGCCTGCCGACGGGCTGCTTCCATGGGTGGCGTCATGGTACAGCCGGGAGCGGGGTTCCCCCCCCCTTTACCATGGGGCTATCCCTGGCTCCCGGGTGTTCTTTGTCCCCGATGGGAGGGGGTGTTGCTGGCCGCCATCTCCTGCGGCTGGCCCTACAGCTTCGCCGTTGCAGCCTGCTTGTCTCTCAGACTTTCCTGGCCTCACTCTGGACTATTGTTGGCTTATTACTTCATGCCCTTGCTATTATTCTGGACTTTCGGACACTCAGTTTGGGAGGCTTGGTCATTACTCTCTGGCCTCCTTGGATTATACAACTGCCTGGACTGCGCAGATTCATAATTTTTTATATACCTGTAATTTTACTAAATTTTTTATATTTTTAAATGTGTGGGGAGTGTATGGTATGACTGTGATTGACTGAATGTTACCACTTTTATTATAATATTGCTGTTCTGTTTTAACTTGTATTGTGGGGATTGATTGGTTGTATGCTTGGGTATGTTTGGTGGGCTGGGAGTTTAGCCGGGCCCTCCTGCACTGAGTGCTTTGGCAAAAATGCCAGGGGGACCCGGGCTTGGTTCCAGCCCTTGGATGTCTGTGTCGAAGGGCCTGCCGATGAACCCGGCGGCCAGGGGAGAGGGTGGAGGGACCACAGATGCGGGAGTGGGCNCGAGTATAAGCCGAGGCGGCTTTTTTCAGCCCAAAAAGTGGGCTGAAAAACTCGGCTTATACTTGAGTATATACGGTATGCATTTTTGCAAGGCAAAGGATGAAATGCCTTTTGCCAGCTTACACAAAATGAAGATAGGAGGTTCCAGAGATTGGCACTACAAAGGGCTTCCTTTTTACCTTCTCCTTAACAATCTAAAGCATATCAACCAGCATATATCATTGGCAGGGAGAAACAAATCTGAGACATAGTACATTCAAATAGTGCCACATTTTCTGCATTTTCTGTTAGTGCCATAACTTCTGACAAAGAGAACTACAGTATACTCAAAAATAATATGGCAGAACTAGACTGAGGGCAGAAAAGAGTCAGGAAAATTGTCAAGATTCGCAGCCCTTTCTTTGGAAATGTATATCACATATTTTTAGTTTACAAAAATCATTACTAAGTGTGGAGAACATGCTACAGGTTTGTAAAATTACTTATTATGGGGGGAAATGGACAGACCATATTCTTCTCATCACATTAGGACAATTTTATCCAAGGAAATTGATTGGCAGTAGATTCTGTAAAAGAAAAGATGGATCTTCCCATAGCACATAATTAATTTATGGAATTTACAGCCACAGGGTGTGTTGATGGCCATTATCGGAGATGTAAGAGCATTTCTAGTAGCTGTGATAGCTCTAAGGATTTATAGAGCTGAATACTAATTGTTGGAGGTCAAGCAGCAAGGGAAGATGCTAGTCTTCCACCCATAGTTATGGCCTTCCTGGAGGCATCTATCATGCCATAGTGAGAAGCAGAATTCAGGAGTAGATTGGATCAAGCACGGTTCTGCTACTATGGACATTTAAAACACTGTTGTCAGAAGAAATCTTTTAGTTTGATAAAGAATACCAACTTTGAAAGAAAGGAACTATATTTATCAAACCATCTTCATCTCATGTTCCCTGCATAGTTAAGACAATTTAAGTAAAGCTATCCTTAGCTATTCTAATTTTAAAGTGGTATTTTCCCTCTTCTCCTATTATAATGTTGGTCTTGTATACGGTTTGGCATGCTTCATGGACAATGTGGTTGTTGAAAGTTACTTTTGGTTTCTTTCTGGTTGCTGGAAATGAGCCTTTTAAACTTGGACTGCAGTACAGGCCAGACATGGAGACCTGGGCTGTGTCATGCTTGAATTGAGTTTTCCATCATGTTTGACAGTTCATACGCAAGTTTCTTGTAAACATTGTTTAGCTACACTCTTTTTTTAAAAAAAATAGGTTTGCCTTCCTTTAATTACCATTTAAACACTAAAATTGTATTTAAAAGACAGATTACCAGTCCCTTGAGACAATGTTAGTATGTGCTGTACAAAAAGTAAAAAAAAAACCTGGATTTTGCCAGCAGTGTGTGGCTAGTTCTGCTATTTTTGGATATATTATCAAATCTTTTGCCAATGAGGAGTTTTGCAGAGCCATATTTTTTATATTT